AATGGGTTTCAGGGAAAGTCCTGTAACTGTTGTTTGCTTAAAGTATGGTCCTGTATCTACAGCATATGCTTAAAGCAGGCCCTCAGCCCCTCAGCGTCTCAGCCCCTCTGATGCCACCTTTTTGAAGTCGATTTTTTCTGACATACATCCGCCGCGAAGCTCAAAACCCGTATCGAAGCTGACAGCCAGTAAGACTTGATATTTTATGGCACTTTAGAGGATTTGAAAATTTAACTGGAAGGAGCCCTTGAGTTTTCCGCGGGAAAAGCGTTTAACGAGCGCCTCGAGACCCGCTCAGAGGGTGAAACGTGGCGTATACGTGATAAATGTAACATTTAAATCGCATTCACATTTAAAACAATATTTACGGGCGCGTTTTTCCCCTTTCTTTTTTTTTAAACATATTTCTTTATGCAAATATATATATGTATTTATTTATATTAATTATAATTGCAGAACGGATGGCACAGAATGGATCCACAGATACATTTATCACGTGTGGAATTTTCTTGTTTAATTTTCATGGGGAAAAACGAATTGCTGTTCATTTAATTGCAGCCACAATAAAAATTTACGAGGCGACAACAAAGGAAAAAAATAAAGGGAAGCCACTCTCTTCTCCCCTCTCCTCCAATCTGTCCTACTCCTCTCTTCAATCTCCTGTTAATCTCCTCTGGAATCTACTTTTTGCACTTCTCCGAATTTCCGACATTTTTATGATAATTGAAAGTGAAAACAGATTGCAGATTGCAAGCCATAAACATCAACATACATCCGTCCATAAAAAGCGAAAAGTATCATCATTTAATTTCGGTAATCAAAGCATACCCCCTCCCCAGCCCTCCCCCTTCCCACCCCTACCCCATAAAAGTTACACTCGTAAACCCCAGCAGTTTTAAGCCCTTGCCCCGCCCTTTTTTTGGGGGGACTGGCAGAAAAAAATGTATACAAAAGGAAAGAAAAATCCCTAATTAATTTTCAATTTTTATCAATCAGAAGGGAAACATCAAAGTTAAAAAAAAAAACCCCAGCCCAATACATGTCATAAATGTGATTTTATTTGGGTTTTTTTTTATGTGCTGTAGGATCGTCTGATATGCGAGTAATAACTGTAAAATATATGCATATATGCAGTCCCAGGCGGATAAAAACAATTAATTGGAACTGCAGACCATTCGGCATTCATTTCCATTATGAATATGGAGAGGGGTGGGGGTGGGGAAAAACCTACAAAGATGATAGGTCCAGAAATGGTATCATTGCCAGGGGAGTTCAAGGGGTTTCCCACTCCATGTGTGCCACATGTGCCATGTTTTAAACGAATTTAATTATTGTTCATGTGCTGAAATATGAGACAGCATTTATTTATGGGACATGCAATGGACAGAGGAACGAAGGAGCGAAGCAACGAAGCTCCTCCTGAAGCCCAGACAGAAGCACCTCTCCTGTCATTCCTGTCTCTTTATTTTTGCAGTGCATGCGAGTGTGCATGTGTACCTGTGTCCCCTGCTCCTCCCTCTCCCTCTCTATCCTCCGATCACTGGGCGTATGAGTTATGGTCATGGCTGGCTATGGGAATGGTACAGGCGGTGTGGGGGGGGGGGGGGCGGGGGCGTATGATTAATATTCAATTACAAGGGAGATTCCGTTTGCACTCGAACAAAAAAAAAAAACAGCAGTTCTCTCTGGTTGTTTCCTTTTGTCCTGTATTGGTTGGAAAAACTTTGCTAATTGCCATCATCAATGGCACCAGGAATGGCACTTTTCCGTGCTCTTAATCGTGAAAAATAGTAAACCAAAAACACAATGAAATCAACCGAAAGGGTTTCCAGCCCCTGAAAAATTATGGTGGAGTGGAAATGGGCCCCTGCAGAGACCTTTCCATCCAATCTTTCTCCCAAAATTGATTGAAATCTCTTAACTTTTATGGAACCCAGGTGTATCTAGGTTTCCAAGAGTATCTTTAGGGGTAGCGAAAGTTTCGGCTGGTTCCTACTTTGTTTTCCTTTTGTTTTTCGTATCTTTTTGTTAAGCAAATTTTTTGTTGTTTCTGGCTGCTGCTTCGCTGGGCAGCATGTGCCTTCGTTTGATTTAATTATCCCCGCAGCCAGTGCGGAAAAGTTTGAGGAAAACAATGTGCCAACCCGCAACCCACACGTTCCACACGATCCACACGCAATACACTCGATACCAGGGGCAGAGCCCTAATTAAAACATATAAACCTTTTTTTTTTTAAGCGAAATTTAAACCAAAATTCAAGTTGAATAATATCGAACAGGGCAAATAAATTATGTTTTAGGCAAAACATTAATTTGGGGGACTTATCGGGATTAATGTTCGTGGAGATATTGTGTGTGGGTTTTACTCAGTTAAACTGGAATTTTGAGAGTTTGGTATCCTAACGGATTCGTGGATTGCGTGTAGTTTTCGCATGAAAATGAATCAAAATTCATTTGCCATTTGACAAGGCCAATGTCCCATGATTTATGGCTGCCATTATTTTATGTTTAGCTGCACGGATTCGTGACATATTATTAAGTACTGCAATTTTTTTTTTTGTTTTTTTGGGGGGGAGTGGGGGCAACTTTATTTTGGGGCATAATTTGCCTTCTTATCGTAGCACAGTTTATGGCAACAGAAAATGCGGAAAGTGCAAATGGTGTGTTCGTGTGAATAGTTCTCAATGGAATTTTATTCGTTTTTTGCTTTTCTTTTTGTTTGCCATTGGAATTAAAAATTAATTGCTATTTTTATAGCCAAAAAACAAAATCCTTCTTTTTTTTTATGTGCCACATGCCACTGCTCTTTGTGTTCATTTCCATCTCTCTTTTGCTCTCTGTTGATTGTTCTTTTTAATGACATGTGCAATTATTTGTTTGTTTGTTTTACGTATAACAAATGCAGCACAGCACAGTGGCGGCACGTGATATGCAGTGAAATTAATTAATCATTGTGCTTTAATCAACCTTTGTGTTGTAATTCAAAGCTAAATATTTTTTTTATTGCTAAATCCCTGCATCAAATGTACCCCGGATTGCCAATTCTTACTCTCCTTTTGGTGCCGTCGATTATTTGCCCTCTTTCTAGGCTGCACAGCTTGAAACGTTTGCCATCTCTTTCTAGTGCTTGCCGAGAGCCGACAGACCGAGCCTCACTACATTGGACGACGCGTCGCCAGCTTATCGGTTTTTGTATTCCTTCATTCTCCCACGCCATTCAAAATCACACCACGAGCATCACTGTCTTGAGAGAGAACGAGAGAGCAGTACGCTGTGGTTTTTGCGTTGGCCTCTGCTGGCGATTATCAGCAAAAACGATCAGCAGAGATCAGCATCGGCAGCAGAAGCCAACCACCACCACCGATTGCTGTTTGCTTTGCTGCCGTCTCGTTTTTGCCTTGCAAGACACGAATGAACCTGCATGGGCTGGCAGGAACTTTGGAAGTAGGAAGTCTCTTTTTTGTGTGTTGAATATTTGAAATGAATTGCTAGAGCTTGCAAAATATCCCCATTAAATATGGAATTTATTCCCATTTATTCCATTCACTCATTAATTACGATAATTTCAGCCCAGTCGGCTTGGCTTTTGAGCAAATGATGGAACTACTGCCAATGGAGAGAGTGCATACAGCTGTAATTTCAATTTGAAGTTCATTTTCCATTCATTTCCATGGCATTCATTGATTCCATGGAAATTTCATTTGCCGTCTGCTTAATGAGCGACAAAACCGAAAGCTTTTATTAATTTATGCATTTAAGTGGATGCTTGATTGCATGTTCAATGTGTCGTCGTTGCCCCTTTGCCACCGTCACCGCCAGCGTCACCGTCCTTGCTGCCACACATTCTGGTTGCCAAAATTTTGCATATTAATTGCTCATTAATTGTTGATTAGCTTTCAAGTGGCAGAATCTCGGTCTTAAGCACCAACTAATCTTTGGCTCAGGGCATACGAAAAACTTGCTTGCGACAAAATGTGGCAATCAATCAAAATGGCTGCGGGCGGGCGGGCGGTCGGGCGGATACTTTCGTCAGCCCAGCAGCGCAAATACTCGCAATTAAGCATTATTAATCACAGCGACTAAGCAACACAACAACACAACACAGCACTTCCACTTCCACTTCCGTCTTTTGGCAAATAATTACAGTGGTCATCGCCCCAGGATCTCATTCTGGGGGCTTCTCGGGATCCTGGCCTGGCTTGTGGTCACTGCGCTAATGTGTGCGTATTATTTTCTCATCAGAATTAATATTTAATTAAAAGTCATGTGCGTGTGGGTAAGAAATTTCCATTTCCATTTCCTTTCGCAGGAAATCCATTTGCCATGTCGTCATGGTGAAGGTTTTTGTTATGTATGGATTTGGTTTTTTGGGCATGAAATTTGAGAAATTAAGGGATTAAATGTGGGAAGCTTTAAATCTATTATTTCCATAAATTCGATTGGGAATACCACTTCAAATTCGAATGTGAATCAAAGATCTATAGTTCATTGCTGGGTCAGAGATCACAATCCGATTTATGCACTAATTGCGATGCTCATGTCAGGCTCTGTCGAGTGTCATCCGTCGAACAAAAGAATTGTGGCTGTGTCTCTGTGTGTGTGTGTGTGTGTGTGTGGCCAAAACACTTGACTTGTGTGTTGTGTGCGTGCCAGGCCGCAAATCGGCAACTAATCAATCAATTGGAGGGGGCCACGGCCATGTTCCACTTTTTTTCTTCTTTTCTGTGGCGCCGGGGTAAGGCCTACTCGATTGATGTTTGAGTGGCATCCCCCCACCCCCCATATGATGGATTGGATTGTGCCAAAGTTTGATTTTGGTTTGGATTTCGACTTCGATTGGCAGGGAGAAACATCTAAAATCCTAGTGAAGACCCAACGAAGTTGTGCAGGTCCTGGAGATCTAAATCCCATTTCAAGCGTTAATCTTCCATGGCAAAAATTAACCGAAAAGAAAAGCCCGCGTTTTCCCTTAATTATAACATGATTTATGACTCAATTACCGTTTAATAGTCCGTTCCAGGCCTTTTCTTGACTTTGATTTGAGCCAATGATTTTCCTTGGTTTTCCCACGATTTTCTTGCCCTCCTCTTGTCACACTTCACTTCACGCTTTTCAACACCATTTGCAAAGGAAAAGCTTTCTGCCGAAAATTTAATTTTCTTTAATCTTTCTTTCACTTTTTTTTTTCTTTCTCTTGAGATAAAAGCCTCGTTTTAGGCATCCGCTGGTGCCGCTGCCATTTGGCGGCCTCTGACTATTTTTTTTTTTTTGTTGGGCAAGTTGGCGCCTATGCCCCACACACACACGCACACACACTGGCACACACACTCTCCCCAGTCCGGAAAATGGGAGAAAACACTTGAAATTTGTTGGCTGCTTTGGCGCGACTTTCCGGTTAGCGAATTATTTTGCTGAGGGCTTTGTATCTTTTTTTTAGAGCATTTACTATCTCTTTTTTAGAGGGTATATCATTTGTGGGGGTATCTTCTATTAGAGGGTATTAGAGGTTCCTTCTCGGGTTTTTTTGGGCCGCTGTTTGGTTCCTTTCTTTTTTGGGGCGTTGCTTTCTCTTAATCTTTTGATTGTTGCAAATGCAACAAGGGAATCCCCGTGCACACACTCGTGCACTCACACTCACACACACACAGATACACAAATACACTGCTCGATGGAGTTTTATGATTCCTTTTTTTTTTGGGTGGAAAATCCGCGACGTTCCGCGTTCGTCGTACCCGTTTACTCCGAAGTCGGGCGCTGTGGCGGACGCCTGGCTGCCGTTTTACCGTTTCGCCGTTTCACCGCTTACCGTTACGTGTTACCACACAACACAAATATCGAACGTGAACTGACGACATGAAGAACGAAGTCCGAGGACATTGGAGGCATGGCATCGAACGAAAGCGCGACACACAGAGCCCCAGAGGATGTGTCTGGTCTGTCGTTCGGTTCATCGGGTGGCGGCTGGCTCCTTCGTTCGTCGTTAGCGAGCACCAAGACGCCAAACGGCCGACGGGGGGACTACAAAGCAAGAGCAAGAGCGAGCTGCGAGAGGGAGAGAGAGCGAGAGAGCGAGGCGTTGCTGTGATGGGGTAATAGGGGGGAGAGAGTGTATCCCCTTATTTGGAGGGGCGATGTCTATTTGCAGGGACTGCTGAAAATTACCCCCTGTTTGAGGTGGAGCAGCAATTTTCAGGAGTTCGAAAATAATTTCGAATGAAACTTGTTGCTAAACGAAAGCGACTTTTGGATTTTTCAAAGCAATATCCGATTGAAAGTGAGGTGTAAGAATGACATAGTATAATTAATAAATTACGTAGATTTTTACCGAAATTAAAAAAAAAGAAATTCATACATGTTCATAGATGGTCGTGAAACAAATAAACGTGTTCAAACGATTCGAAGATTTAGTACAAAGATTTACACTAATTTTGGCTGGCTATTATTTCATTAGAATAAACGTATAATAAATACCCTCTCCAGGATTTTCTTACGTGTTTTGTCTTACTGAATTCAATTATTGACATAATTTGACGCTTAAAAAAAAAACAAAAAAAAATATAATTCGGTGTTTAATATTCCATTGAATTTAATCATTATTGTCATTTTTAAACTTAATTTAAAACTATTTAAAATATGTATAATTTATTACATTTTTATTTTCTTTTAAAAAATACATCATAAAATAAATAATAAAATAGCATAAATAATAAATCAATAAAAATAAATAAATCATAAAATAATTAAAAAATAATCAAAATAATTAAAATAATATAATTATGATTATATATCTTTAATCATTATTTTAATTATTTTGATTATTATTTTTGAATATTTTTTTTATTATTTTATGATTTTTATAACTCAATTAAAGGAAGATTATCCATGAATATACAAATTAAATAATTTTTCTGGGATAAACTTAAATACAAATATTCAATTTGTAAATATTTAATACATATTCATTACATATGTAAAATATTTATTTGAAATATGTAGTACATTTTAAAGAAATATTTTCATAATATTTGTATGTGAAATATTTATTTAAAATCAATTTTAATCAAATATATTCATTATAATGTCAAAATGTAAGTGAAAATATTTTTTTTACATTTTTCACTCTCGTAGAAAATTTTGTATTCTACATTTTTAGGTACAGTTGAAATATTACAATCTAAAACATTTTTTCTCTGGGTCTAATTAGAAGTACGTGTAATTTTTTTACTTGTAAATTCTACAAAATGCACTTAAGCTTAATATTAGATGCTCAGAAAATACAGTAGAGATACAGTTGATTCGCACCTAGATACATATACATTTTTACCGTTCCATGAATTTTCCACCAATTATCTCTTGACAGCATAGCTATTTTATTCGGTAAAACAACCTTGTATCTTTTCCTCTATTGTTCAGAATATTTTTCAGAATAAGAGGGATATTTTGTATTTTTGACAAATACTTTTAGACAGGAAACAGTACCAAAGATGCACCCTAACTTTCCAAAGCTATCTGAAAGTTTTGCCAGCTTCCATGGGGCTTTCATCTGGGCATAAATTCCTCAAGCTTTTTGTAGAATTAAGCACAGAAAAAGGAAAGGCTCTCTCAAAGCTGAAATCTCTTCCCAGGAGCTTTACCGAAAGTTTTCTCCTGAAAAGTTTGAACAAAACATAAAAGTGTTGTAGAACCTTGAAGTGTTAAGAATATGTTCCGATAGGACAATGTTTAATATCAAAAAATTCTCAGTGTAGTACCTGGGTTTTCCGATAGAAGAAAGGCTCTAATTCCAATGGGAGTTCCGTCCCTTCGGATTCCTCTGCCTGAAAAAGTAATTAAAACCAAAAAAAAAGGTGTGATGCCATATATCTCAATGGATATTCTTTCTTTTCTCGACTAACATTTATGGTCCCTTTTGTTCTTCCATAAACCATCCATTGGAAAGGTGTCCTTTTTACAGTTGAGCAAACCCATAGTTTTACTCACTTTGTCTTCGGCAAAAGTCTGTGAAATTCTTCTAGTATTCTTCTGGTATTTATGGAGCGACAGGAAAGCAAACTGCAGCCAGGAGCCAGGGGGGAGAGGGTATGGGGTTTGCGGTTTGTGGCTTTTTGCTTACTGCTCATTTTTCTCAAAAATCCAAAAAAGAAAGACTATATAGATGTCATCTGCAGGTAAAAGCAAATGCATAATTCAATTTTCGATTTTTCTTTCGTTTTTCTTCTATATTTTCGTAAACGCCACGAATGACCTGCGAATGGCCCACTAAAAATCGAGGTCAATGGCCGGAGATGAGTGAAAGAAACAGGAGTGGAAACAACGAATGATTCCGTGGGGGGAGGGGAGCCCTGTCTGTGGCATTGTGTGTGTTGCATCCTGCTGGCTGGCTGCTGTTGCAAGGCTGACCTTATAAATCATAATTTCCAACAAATAAATCCTTCACGGACAATTTAACAGTGCAGCCCCGGTCCCGGCCCTCAGAAGGAAGAAAAAAAACTGCAACAGTCGTTGAAGCTTTTTGGAGGAGGGAGGAGGAGGGTGGAGGAGGGGAAGGAGGTGGGTGGAAATTTCTGGTTCTGATTCTGTTTCTGATTTTGGTTTTTTCTTTCTTTTTGAGATTTGTTTTTTTTTTCTGCCAAAATGGAAGCCGAAGGGCAAACGGAAGTGGAGTCTGTGTGTGTGTGTGTGTGTAGGAAATGGATATTAATTTGTGTGGGGCATCTTCCATATGCAGCAGTGATTGATGGTTCATCATTCCCATCCGTTCCTGGATTTCCCCCCTCGTTTTTTATGTGTGCTTGTGGCACACCTTTTGACACTGGAATTAGGAGTTGGATCCCATCGGAGTAGCATCCTGTTCGCTTCATTTGAAATGTGCTTTGTGTGGATGCCACAAATATGCTGATGCATTCGTTCTTACCGACCGACTGAAGGCAGTTATCGATCCAATGAAATGCACACAGTAGGGATCCCAAATTCTGGACTTTCTGTTGCTTATTTGATGTGTGTCTATGTGTGTGTGTCTGCGCGTGTGTGTGTGTATTTTGTGGTCAATAAGGAGCTCCTCCAGCTCCCCTTTCCTCCTCCATTCCACATGTCGGCTGCGGTTCTGCATCTCTGCATTGATATCCGTACCATTCCAAAGATTGCTCACAAAAATGTAATTTACGCACATTTCTGAGATGAGCAGAAGGAAAGGGCGAGCCAACAGATGGAGGGGAAGGCCCGGAGATGGAGAGGGGAGACGGGAGAGGGCTGAGAGGAGCGGGGAGCGGGCGAATGTCAGTCGAGAATATTTGCGTAATTTTGAACTTGGCATTTGGACAATTGTGTTTGAATTTGATTTGTAGTCCATGCAGCATGCAGCATGCAACATGCACCCATGGCCATGCCCCCGTTTCTCTGTCTCCCTCTTAACCGATTTCAAATAATCAAACATTTGACTAGCATTTTGGCTCCATTCGTGCAACACACAAACAAAAGCACACATTCGAGGCACGTTGACATGTGTGCCCCCCCCTCCCGCTCCCGCTCCCGTTCCCTCACGTTGCAAGAGCTAATTAAAGCGCGCACGCGTGTGTGATGTGCCACGCCAGATGTTGTTGATGCTTGTAGATGTCTCAAGACCCCAAACAGCAGCAGCAGAAGCATCACAAGCAGCATCAGCAAAAGTGAGCACAAGAGAAAGGGCCTGCTGGGAGGGTGGACGCCGGAGATACCCCTGGAAGATCTTGGATGTATCTGCAGGTTTTAGCAGATTAAATTGTCTTCTGTTTTGATGGTAGATCGTTTTTATTTGTATTTAATGAAATTTTGCACCTCCATTTCAGAGGGAAGTTCCCTTAAAACCCAGAAACCTACGAGATACATATACGGGGACCCCTTCAGCAAAACTGTTAAAGGCTTCCCCTTCCTTTCTTCACCCAAAAAAACTCTTCCCCATAAACCTAATTCCCTGCCTTTCAGGGACGGCCCCACAGGGTACGAAAATGGTGGATGTCTTGGGGGAAAACTGTAGGAGAAACAGTGGCAGTGGCAGTGGCAGAAACAGAATCCATGCCTCCCTGCGCTTTATTCTAATCTCAACCGCAACATGTTTTAAATTTAGCATAACATTCGGAGGCACCACCAAACGACGGGGAAGGGGCATGGACATGGGCTCTCTCTCTCTCCCTATCTCTCTCTCGTCTCGCTGGAATGGGCGGGCGGCTCTCTCTACGGCTCGTGTCTCAACTTTATGCAAAGGTCGCCTCATCAACAACATCTCGGAGAGACCTTTGGAGACTGGGGGAGTACGGAGTATTGGCTCTGGCCGTGGATGAGGGGGGGCCTCCCCATTCCTTCGGGGTATTTGAACTTCACAGGCAGAGTGCCTCGCGCGGCATTGCGTGTTGTGTTTTGATTTGATTTTTGTCGCCGCCGCCGACGACGACGCCGCCATTAAAAAGGTAAACAACAAGAGTTTTTTTCGCCTTTTTTTCGTCTTTTTTGTTTTCTCTTGGGCTGAAGAAAAGTCCTCGAAAAAGTGAAAGAAGAATTATTAAAGTAAAGCACTTGAAATATTAAATGTTTCTTGACTGAATACTTAAATGTAGATATTTTGGGAAGGCTTAAAATTATTATTAAAAATATATCTTTAATAATATTTTATGACTTTTTGCTACTTTTTTGCAAATTTAGTTGGAAAAATGCTTAAAGAATATTTATCTGAATTGCAAAAGATATTTTTTACAATTTTTCAAACATTCTAGAATGCATTCGGAATGCAGGAATTCCTGAAAATAGAAAATTGTTGAATATTAAAGCAGAA